GAGCCAGGCTGGGAGAGCTGGGGGTGCTGACCTGGAGAGGAGAAGGCTCCAGGGAGAGCTCAGAGCCCCTGGCAGGGCCTGAAGGGGCTCCAGGAGAGCTGCAGAGGGACTGGCGACAAGGGGTGGAGGGACAGGACACAGGGAATGGCTCCCAGTGCCAGAGGGCAGGGCTGGATGGGATATTGGGAATGGGGAATTGTTCCCTGGCAGGGTGGGCAGGCCCTGGCACAGGGTGCCCAGAGCAGCTGGGGCTGCCCCTGGATCCCTGGCAGTGCCCAAGGCCAGGCTGGAATAACCTGGGATGGTGGAAGGTGTCCCTGCCCATGGCAGGGGGAGGAGTGAGGTGAGCTTTAAGGTCCCTTTCCATGAAAACCATTCTGGGATTCTGTGCCTGGAGAGCTGCAGCAGAGCACAGCTGGAGATGTGTGAGCAGAGTTCAGCATGTTTTTGCATGTAGATTTTTGCATGTAAGCAGAAGCTCCTTCACTCTGGAATTATTTGCTATTAATGGAGCTGCATCCTGCAGTGCTGTTTTAATAACACTGAGGAAGCACTTGGAAACATCCAACACATCAAACCCCTGTAACAAAGCCCCTGCAAGGGCTCCTGAGATGGCTCCTGCCCCAAAGGCCAGCACTCCCTCTGTGGGGGAAGAGTGGGAGAGACGGAGTCCTTCCCTAAACCTCTGAGTGTCCCCACACTGCAGGGTCTCCTGCATCCCAGCACTGCTCCTCACCCACAGGCACATGCAGCTTCGTTTTTCTGTCTAGAGTGAACTTTCAAGGAGAAGTATTGAGGGACAAAAAGCAACTGTCCCCCTGATTCTCCTGCAAGGCCCTGACCCGTGGCTGTGCCTCCACCACCTGCTCGGGCTGACATTCAGGGAGCTGAGGCTGGCAGAGGCTTGGGCACATTCTAGCCAACTCCAAATGCCAGTTTTGTTTTCTGGAGACACCATTTTCCTGTGTTTTACACAGTCTTACCCTCTGTTACTGAAAAAAAGGTCTGTGTGTGATTCAAGGTCAATCTACTGCACAAAGGACTTGGTTTCCTGTTATCAAGCCCAGGCTTTCATCAGAGTAAACATCCCCTCGCTGCACGTCCTGTAGAGAAACACATGAACAGTACCATGAACAGAATGTAGCATGACATGCCTGGAAAAGAAACCAGTACCTTGTATTTGCCTCCCACATCCCCCTTCTCCCTCTGCTGTTTGCCCAAAGCCTTCCAGGGTAGTGCTGGGTGCTTTTCTTATGAATAGCCACAAACCGTCCTGAAGGGCGTTAATTCATAGAATTGTGGAACAGTTTGGATGAGAAGAGACCTTAAAGCCCATCTCACCCCACCCCTGCCATGGGGACACCTTCCACTATCCCAGGGTGCTCTAAGCCCTGTCCAACCTGGTCTTGGGCACTCCAGGGATGTGAGTGCTGAATCCACTGATCACAGCCAGGCTGTTTGCATTCCTGTTTTCCCAGTGTGCAGCCAGCTCCCCAGGCAGGTATTCACACCATGAGCCAATGGATTCTGCAGTAGAACAGTGGGTCATTGATGCTCTGGGAAATGCCAAACAGGCCTGTCTGGCACACGGACACCCAGGGCGGCGTTTCCTATGGAAAACTGTGAGCCTTCGGAATCTCAGCCTCCGCTTCAAGGAAAGATCTACATGCCAACCAGACTTAAATTAGCCTTGGAAACTGATTCTGGAAAATGTGCCAGCTCAGATGCAAATCCCTCTTACTTACCTCGTGATGACAACAAAAGCCTGGTGAAATTTTACTCATCCATTAACAGAAAAGACCTTGCCCGGTGACACACGTGGGTGGGATTCCAGCAGGGTGACATTGCTTTTGGCACGAGGGCCTTGGCCCCCAAGAATGGCAGCCCTGTGGCATGACAAATGCAGGCCACAGCCACATACCTTACCTGCTGACTCAAGGGGAAGAATGCAGAACCTACAAAAATTAAACTTCCAGCCAAAATCCCGAGATGGTAATCTCACAGAACAGCCCCTGAGGTAAAAGATTGATGATTAGAATTACACTCAGGAAAACACTGGTTGATTTCTAACCACCTTCAGAGCAAGTTATAGCCAAGACATTCCACTGGGGTCACTTCCTAAATCCACTGGAGGGAAAACACGAGCGCTCAGCTCACTGGGACAGTGATTTTTGTTTCACCACCATGGATAGAGGCCCCTCCATGCCCCATTAAAATCAATGGCAGAACTCTCTTGTTTTTAGCATAAACTCATTTTCGTTTCTCCTCCTCATGGTCATATCTCCAAAACTGAAACTGCAGCAGCAGTGATCAGATCAGACAACTTTCTAGATCACACAGAGCTGTGGAAATCCCAAAAGAATTCTCTGGTTTCAGGTGAAAACCAAATGTCGATACCTGTCCACCCGCTTCCCGCACAGCCCCCGGGGTTGGGTTAATTTTCCTGTTGAGGACTGGCTATTTAAGGATGTGGTTGAGACGATGCGTTTCTGTTTGACTTCAGTTTGAAACCAAAAGACTGCTCTTCTTGTTAACCGCTCTCCCAGAAAGAAGGATTTCCAGAAGCCCCACTCACCTGGCTGTGGCTCGGCAGGTTGAGATATCCACACCCCAGCGACTGAAGAGCCTGCGGTCGCCATAAACGAGAACAGGTTTCCTTTCTTCGCTGGCTTTCTGAAAAACCCTGGGGAGCATTCACTTTCCCCTTACAGAATGTTCCTAATATTTTGGGGGTTTTTTAAGCAGTTTTTAATCTTAATTGCTGCTGGGATCTTTGGCTGATCAAAGGGAGGATGGCTGTGATTCTTTGTATTACTCAGTGCTGCATTACCACCGGGATCACATATTCATTTATTTTGGTTGAGGAGGTAACAGTCTCCTTTCACTGCACGCACACAATTACTGTAAGCATGCAGGGGACTTGCCAAATGATGCATGAGGGGAGGAGGAGAATCTTTGAAGAAAATTGTTCAAACGTAATTTAGTTCACTAATTGGCAAGGGACTGTTACTAACGAATCGCTTCTGTTTTATGTCAGTAGTGAATCAGGTTGATCATGTGTAACATACATTAGGCAGTTAATGAGTATTAACTAGAAATGCGACCGAAACACAAGAAAAAGGGTTTTTCACCTTTAACTAGCCAAGCAGAATCACCAATAAATAAAAGGATATGTGTAAGTGGCTTAGACGATTCTAATCTGCAGTGGAAATACTTTTCTTAGAAACTCATGGCAACCACAAGAGGGGAAAAATATCAGATGCTTACTGCGGCACTTCATCAACACTTGCTCTACTTCTAACCAAGCCTGAAATGAAAATGACTAAAAGTCATTACCATAAAATAACTGATTAGAACCCCATGTGAACTGAGACAGTGAGTTCTGGCCCTGGCTATGAGACCAGGGCATCATAAGGCCAGTGAAGGCGTGTGTTGACCTGGTGGTGGCTGTGTGTGCACTTTCACTGAGGGACAGGACACTTGGCACCCCCCTAACTCTTGATGTGCCCCTTACCCTTGGGAATCCCATGGAGAGCAGTGAGATCACCTTGCTGGAGCAGCCATAATCACAGCCATGCCTCACTCTCCTCTCTGTGTGTGACCCAACAGCATGACACAGCTTTGGGTGCAGTCAGGGCTGCAGGAATGTGGCCCTCAGAGCCCAGCAGTGCCAGGGCAGAGCTGGGAGGTGACAGCAGGCCCACGTGCAGAGCCTGGCTCACTCGTGGATTTGCAGCCCTGAGAGCAAACACTGTTACAAAACCCGGGCAGAAGGAAAGTTTCTGGCTGGCTCTGGCATGTGAACAAACTGGCTTATTAGGCCACAGGTGCAAAAACGAGAATGTGGAGTGAAAGTGAGGATAAAATGGAGAATTCTGGTGGGTGCTCTGCAGGTTTTGTGAAATAGGTATCAGGCCATGGAACCTGCCAGACACTGTGGGGGGACAGGCAGGGTCTGTTTGCTGTGGGCCAAGGAGGGACAGCTGCAGGATTTGCTTTAGGATTGCAATCCAACACTGCACTGCCTGGAGAAGGAGGGTGGCAGAACATCTCAGGGGGCTCAGTCTGGGCGTTACCTCTGCTTCAGCCTTGGCTTTCAACTCAGGTTTTTCAACTTTCTGGTCAAGCAGAGTCAAAACAGAAGGGAGATGCATCAATCCCATCTCCTGGCAGCTTTAGGCAGGGAAAGATCACTGTTCCAGCAGGAAGGAAGGGCCCTGATGTCTGCAGCCAGTCTTGGATACTGCCACAGCAGATGAGAGCTCCAGACTCTATGGATCAGATACCTGTCATGTGTTGTTCTCCTTACCTGTATTTGCAGCCACCAGGTACCTTTCTCACAGCAGGTTCTGAACTGGGTATTTTGCAACACAATTTATATCACACAACTGCTGAGCCCCTTGGCACATGGTGGGGTGCTGACTTAGAAATGAGCTGATAATACAGTCATGGCAACACTACTTGCAGAGTCAGAAGAAAAATCTAAATATCCAGCACCAGCAGAAAATGTGTACAGATTAGTTTATCTCTGCACTCAATAGAGATAAGACCCCTTATTTGAAAAAAAAATCTAAGCTCCAGGAAACAGCAGAAAGGATGAAGTTAAGCACGGTGTGGTGGATCATGAGACATGCTGCCTGCTGGCATTGATACCTCAGAGTTCATCTGGAAATAATGCCTTAAATCAGGGTGACAGGACAGTCCAGCCCCAGAGGAGGGGACTTAGCCAGTGAAGGGCAGGGGGTGTGAGGGAAAGAGGCAGAAAGAAGCACACAGACACCATTTATGTGAAATGATAAATTCTCAGCTTAAGAACATCAAACAAGTGCAGCTGGCTGGCAATGCCATGGCAGCTCTGGTGCTTGCTGTCTCTTGGCAATCCAGAGTTTTCAGGAGACAAATAAACATGCAGAAATACATGTGGGATGGGGAAGAGTTAAACATTGGTCTGTACCAGTCAGATGACAATGCAAACTCACACCTTCCAAATGTATTGTGTGTCAGAACGAACATAATTTCCTGCTGTTCAGAGGCAGCTTCTCTGGTTCACTGACCTTCCTTTTCTTCTCAGGTCCTATTACCTCTTCCTGGCTGAAGGCAAGGTTCAGGAGGTTTATCTGCAAGAACCATCAGAAACAGGGATCATTCTCACAGGGCGCGCTCCTGCAACATGAGTTAAAAAGTACAGCTTCCAAAAGTGTCATGTGTATGCCTGGATCCTCCTGGCTTTGCTCAGTGTGATCCTGTTCTCCAGAAAAGCAATTAGGCAAGGAATCAAAACTGGAGTGCTGGATGGAGCTGGGAATGTAACAGTTGTGCAAGCAACAGGTTCAGCTTCAGGGACAGGGAATGGATTTGGCGGCAAGGGGACAGAACCCATCTCCTCATCACTGACAGAAAATGGCAGGAGCAAGGAGATCCTTGAGGAATATAATAGCTGATAGGACATTTGTTTCTCCACTAACCTCAGATAATCATAACATATGAAAAAGAAAGGGGCACTTTTAGGTGAAATTTGTCACAGCCTTTCAGGGGAAGACACACAGTCCCTCTGTTTGTACATTAGGGAATTCAGTGTGAGTTGGTCAATCTCAGGCTTCAAAACTACCTGTGAGTCTGTGAAAAATAACTAAGCCAAGCAAACTTTTTCCCAAAAGGCTTAACTTCCCTCTAGAAAGACACAAACCTCTCCCAGAAAAACTCTGAGCCAGCGACCCAAGAGGTTAAAAAGCACAGATAAATATATGTGAGAATATAAGTGAGTCAATGGAACAGACACTTCAGACAGACCACAGGGAGATGGACAGCCAGCACGACAGCTGAAGTGTTGGCTGTGCCAGGGGACAAACTCACTTATCCTCCTTATCATGTCACATATTTGCATTTCTACAATAATAATCTGGAGCTGCTGAGAGCAATGTGTGCTGTCGCCCACCCAGAAGGGACAAAGCACAGTCTGGCAATGTGGCCTCTCTCACTGGAGCTGAGCTGAGGGGACACAGCACAGCACAGAGCTTCTCCTCCAAAACAAAGTTCACTTGAATGACAGCGAGGGAAAGGAGTGCTGAGAGAATTGCTGGAAACAGGAGTACCTCCCTCTAGTGTCACTGCAAGGCACCAAGCACCCCGGAACTGCGGCAGGGGAAGCACAAGGAGTTAACGAGGAGCTGCTCCAGAACACATCCCGGGGATGAGCACAAGGTCTCCAGATTACAAGATGTGGTCATTATAGAATTCCCCACTCACGTCACCAAGGCTGGCTTTCCATCTGACCTTGGGATGAGGCTTCGGCAATCTCTGCATAGCAATGGACTTTCTAATGTGTGAAATAGCTCTGATTAGGGATTAACAGCAAAATGCTTTGCAACAGCCTCCCTTCGCCTCTCTATCATGTTTCAATTTGTTTTTCTTCCCTCCTCTTCGTTATGAGCCATACAATGTTGCTTAATGCAAAAGCACAATTTCCTTTCCCTAAAAGCAGAGAAAACAAGAATGTGCCAAAGTGGGCTGGGCAGGTTCTCCCTCACCCTGCACAGTCAGGCTGACAGAGCTTTCCAAGGCTGCCCAAGGTGTGTTTGCTTGAGGACAGAGCCATGTGTTACAGCTCCTCGCCTGACATTCAGCTGCTCCAACTGGCATTTTTGGCAGCTATTTACTTTCCTCTCCCTAACATTGTTTTAACCCATCTGCTTCCTTCTATTTTTGAAGTGAAGGGCCCAGAGAAGGAAATGCTGCATCCAAACCTCTGCAGTGCTAACACAGCTGCAGGTTTGTACCCTGTCCTGATGGACACACAACAAAGCAGGGGCACAATTCCCAATCTCCCAGCCCCATCACCTGGATGAGGCAGCTCTCCTTCTGTTTAAACCTAGCTAGAGCTGCTGCTTTAATTTCCTCTACTGAGGAATGGATCTTGCACAGCCCAGAAAGCTCCTCAGCGAAGGTTTTACCCCTTTGCCACTCCTCCAGAATTTCCTGCATGGATGGGATACTTGTAAGGAGGAGAAATAGCCACGATGAGCAGCTGCTTGCACTCCAGCTCCCCCCAGTTCTCCTGCCCTTCACCACAAGCAGCACGAGCACCTCACAGGAACCTGAGATGAGGGGTGAAAACATGCAAGGAAGCCATGGAGAAGCACTATTCACCCATTCAATGAATCAGATGTCAACAGTGAGAGCTGTTTCACTGCAGCCAGCGTGTCCGGGCCTGTCCCTGCCCAAGCTCACGTAGGAGCTCAGAGCCAGGAACAGACCCCAAGCCCAACTTCAGCTCCCATCCTTAACCAAACACTCCAGCCTCTTCCCCAGAAATGCTGCTCTAAAGGGGATTAAGTCAGGCCCGACATGTGCTTATTTGACTTGAAGCAGAAAGTAAACCTCTTCAATGGTGTGGTGAGAAGCAGGAAATCCCTCCCATTGATTAAACATACAATCAAAGGCTCCAGAAGTTAATTAATTCTAATTTTTTTCCCACGTACTGAGATGCTTCACTTGAAGAACTGATGTCAGAGCTTGGGCTGGGAGAATGTTGCATTTCCTCATACACAACCTCAGCCCCACGGACGAGCCAGGAGCTGTAGAAGCAGGTAGGACAAGGTGCAGCCCCTTGCACCCTCACCCCAAAAAGGGACCCTGCTGGCAGGTGGGACAAGCCCAGAGCAAGCAGCAAAGGCAGCAGCAGCTCCATGACCTCCTGACTCTGAGTCCAAGGCAGAGTTCAGGGTCTGGGTCATATCATGAACACACAGTGAGTGTGAATCTCCTGTTTTACTACGTGTAAAAAAGCAATATTTTGCCGCAGGAGTTTTCCTGTAGAACTGCAGCTAACTTGTGAATCATACAAGTGTTACTAATTTCTGGCATAAAACTCACAGGACAGCTGCGAGTTGTCTGGAGAAGATATCAGGCTAAAAATAGATTAGACTTAGATTAAAGCCTTCCCAAGGCAGACTGGTGGACGAAGCAGAGCGAGCAGACCACAGCCACACTGCTATTCTTAGATAGACACAATCAGGACCCAGTTTGCAATCCCCAGTGTCCCAACATATTCCAGCCAAAAATTCCCAGCATAAATTGAAGAAAATTTACAGCTCTCCTGACATGTGTTTTGCTTCCCAGGGCATCCTATGCAGAACAGCTAAAATTGCACAAGAGCATTCGGCTGTGTCCCTCTTTGTCCCTGGGCTGCCCCATGCTGGGGTTTGGCACTTGGCACATTTTATGTCCTCAGAAGAGTTCCCTTTGTCCAGGACACGGAGGGTTTTGTTTGGTACCTTGTAACTATCCCCACAAATTCACAAGCACATGAATGTCAAAAGAAGTGCAGTTCCATCGAGCAAGCTGGAAGAATAAGGGCTGAGATACAAGACTGAGCTGCTGGAATAAGGCAGAGTGACCCTCAGGTGTCAGGACATCACAGTTTGTGTGGAGGACTCTCATCATCAGGGATGTTAATCAGAGTGACCTGAGGCATCCTGTGATTTCAGCTGCAGCTACCACTGACTCAACAGCACAGCAAACTCTTGTCACTTCCAAAAATCAACCTGGTGACTCTTCAGATTGGTCCCCTAAGACCTAATTCCTGCCTGCTCACTGACAGCTGGCTGCTCCGTGCTCTGAAGCACAGCAAAATCCCAGGGTCACAGGACACATCATGGTGTCACTGGAGGGATGAGAGGAGATGGACACAAACTGAAACCACAGAATCACAGATTCCCAGAAGGGTTTGTGTTGGAAGGGATCTTAGAGCTCATCTCATCCCACTCCCCTGTCATAAGCAGGGACACTTTCCACTAGGCCAGGTTGCTCCACAGCCCATCTAACCTGGCTTTGAGCACTTCCAGGGAAATACAAGAAATTCCATTTAAACATAAGGACAAATTTTAATTTTTTTACTGTGAGGGCAACCAAGTGGTGGTGAAAGTCAGCCAGGGAGGTTGTGGAGCCCCCTTCCTTGCAGATACTCACCACCTGAGAGGAGCAGGTCCTGAGGAACCCTCTCCCTGTGCTCTGAGCAGGTTGGCTGGCCCTGCTGACCCCGGGGGCTGTGCAGGGGTGGCTCTGTGGTTAAACCCCAGCACTGGGCTCCCATCAGTTTCCAGTGCCATGGTCACACTGACGTCAGTGGAATCCCTCCTGATTTCCATCTGTGCAGGAGGATCATGCTGGTTACTGTGAAAGCCAGCTTACACAGGTGGAACAATGAGGGACCCTCAGTGTGGTGCTGCTGGGGAAAGCTGCCATGATTTTGTGCCCAGGAAACCACACCAACACATCACTGACTATCACCAGTCCTCTTCCTTTTCCTCAGCTCTTGATAAAACCTTTGTCATTCAGTGCCATTCTTTTGTCTCACCCCCCGTTCTGCACCTCGTGTATCTTGTAGCTTTTAAAGGATTAATGAACAGATCTTTCCAGAATTCAAAAATTCCAAAATTCCAGCTTCAAAAATTTCTGTTAGAAGACAAAATTACCAATACCTCTCCTGCTAATCTCCTCCAGGGCCCTCAATCCCTTCAGTGAGGGACATTCTCATTGCTGGATCACACTCACTTCCCAGAATCCTGATTCCAACTCTGTAACTGAGGGGGAAAAGACAATGGACACTCTTTCTGCCTATGAGGCTGCTACCCAGCAGGCCCTCCTGGGATATTAGATGTGTCCAGCCTTAATTTCTGTGGGTTTTTCCAGAGGGTCTGGCTGCTAGAATGCACAGCAGGAACACATGGAGTGGCAGCCAGCACGGAAGCGCCACGTCTTCCCACAGATGTCCCTGTGGGAGCTGCCAGGGAATCTGAGGGTGCAAGGGTTAAATACTCTGGATCTGTGGGTGACAGACCTCACCTCTGCATGCAGAGATCACTAGGAAACTGTTTCCTGCACACTAGACAGGGATAACTCATGGAAGGGATGAATGGCCCCAAGATACAGCTAAGGATCTGACGTGAACTGAGAGAAGCCAGGAATTTCCTGACCTCCCTGTCTCACTCCTCCCAGCATGGCCTGAGCTCACAGGAAGGAGAGGCAAGCTCATCTCTGAATCTTTCTCTCTTCATTGCTTGGGTCTGTGTAGCTTCAGCTGGTTTGGAGGAGAAAATGTTCTGGGAACTTCTCATCAGATACACTCTCCTGATAGACAGACAGAGATAAACCTTGCTGCTTTTTTTTCTCTTCTGTGAAAGTTCAAGATAATGACATTGCCACAGAAAAATGCTTTCCTATTGCTCTGCACATGGCAGGTTTCATCCTTCAACTGCCTTCTGTCATGGCACTTCTGAACGTGGTTTGCCTGGGAAAAATCAGACAACAGAGGTCCTGATCTCCAAGCTGCTGTTCTGCAGTTGTGCTGACCTTCAGTGCCAGAAGGAAGCTGTGTACAACCCTGCAGCTCAGCAGGGCACAGGAGCTGTGGAATGGTTTGGGCTGGAAGGGATCTTAAAGCTCATCTCACTCCTCCCCCTGCCATGCGCAGGGACAATTTCCACTATCCCAGGTTTCTCCAAGCCTCAATGTCCAGCCTGGCCTTGGGCACTGCCAGGGATCCAGGGGCAGCCCCAGCTGCTCTGGGCACCCTGTGCCAGGGCCTGCCCACCCTGCCAGGGAACAATTCCCAATTCCCAATATCCCATCCAGCCCTGCCCTCTGGCACTGGGAGCCATTCCCTGTGTCCTGTCCCTCCATCCCTTGTCCCCAGTCCCTCTCCAGCTCTCCTGGAGCCCCTTTGGGCACTGGCAGGGGCTCTGAGGTCTCTGTCAGGGTAACTGGCACTGATCCCTGGCACACTGGACAGGTATTACTGCATCACCCATGAAAGTCTGTGTCCACACAGCCCCTTGGAGAAGGAGCACATGGCCAGGTAGCCAAGCCTTCTGCACAAGGAGCAGCAGCTGGAGGCCAGACAGACTGTCCTCTGAGGCCTACAGCAGCCCTGATCCACAACACTTAGGTATGAAGCTGTCCCCAGACATCTCAGCTGCAGACAGCTCCTGTCAGGAGAGCTGATCCACATGGCAGCAGCCTGCCTACAGCAGCCAGTGAGTCCCAGAGCAGAACCCCTGAGCCATCCCTGGTCCCACTGGGATGCCCACACAATGCCAAGTGTCAACACTCGTCTCCCTCATGTCCCACAGCAGTCTACAAGCACGGCCAGCCCAGCAGCAGGAGCAGGGTCTGGCAGCAGCTGATGAAGGCAGAAACTTGGGAGGCAGAGCTGCCTGGTGCTGTGCTGATCCAGCCACACCATTCCCAGCCAGGGCTCCCTGCACGGCTGCCTCATTGTGCACTGAGACTGTGCTCCAAGGACCACCCCAGAACTTCAGCCCACAGCTTCCTGATGGGAGATAAATGCCTGCAGAGGCGTTCACATGGTCAGATTTTACTCATCTTCTACTTCTGTTCCATTCCAGACTCATTCCACTGCAACATGTTTGCTTACACGAAGACAAAGCTGACCAAAATCAATTTTCAGGACAAGGACATTCAAGGATGTTCTTTACAAGAGGATAGAAGAGTTTGCTGAAGAACTCAGAAGTAATCCCAAGTTCAGTGCAGGACCCAATTCCAGCAGATTTCTATTAGTTAAACTAATGGGCAGCAACTCTCTATTTCCCCCAACTCTTCACAGCTCCCAAAATGCCAGTGGAAAGAAGGAAGATGCACAAAGATAGCACAGGAGGACAAACCCTTGGCTGATGCAATCAGAAGGCTCCTGAAGCCAGGAGAGGTGAGCTAATTTACATGCTGGTGCCTAACTCTGGATGATTAAGTGCAGAGATGCTCTGCTGGGAAAGGGCAATCTCTCATTTGATCCCAAGGCTCATCAATCATGAGATGGCAGATAAGAAGCCAGTGGAGAACATGAAAATTTTTCCCCAACCTGCAAAGCCCTCTGTCAGAGACTCTCTGTGACCACTGCTAAAGGCCAGCTCCAGCTCTCACTGGGCAGGGAGAGCTGCTTCTCTTTTGGCAGATCCACACCCTTTCACCTCTCCCATGTCAACTAGACAAAAATAAACCTTTAATACTTTCATTCCTGGTTTTCCTGAAGAGCTCTAGGTCAGCAAGATAATGACCAATAAACCCAATTCCAGTTTTTATTTTTGGTAACCAAGCAATCAGAAGGATTCACTCCAGCTGAGGAGCAGAAATGTGCTCACCCACATTTCCAAAAGCAACTTGTGACTGTGGGTAATGGTTTTGAACTCAGAACTTCTTGAATATCAAATCCTTGTGCAGACAGCAATTTTCTGTGACGCTCTAAATTGTTCTGGTGCATTTGGAAGATTTTGGCATTCCCACCCCAATCCAAGAGCTGGAAAACATTATCTGTATTGTCTGGATGGCAACAAGGTGTTCACATTCACGCCGCACCAGGTCTGCTCCTCCCCATCCCACCTACACCTGACCCTGTCAGACAGCACCTAACTCAGACTTCCACCCCAGCTTCTCCTCAATTTTTAGGACAAACTTCAGCCACCAGCTTGGCTTCCTGATTCACATGGAATACACAATGGTCATTTGTTTTAACCACTTCCTTCAGAAAAGAAGGGAAAGTCTCTCTCATATGGAAAAAAGTGTCAAATTTTTATTAGTGCAGGCTTTACAGTGATGATTCCAACTACTGGCTTGACTTTGTTTTTCCCCAAACGGGGTGAAATATTAGCCAGTTTCTAAGCTAGGAGGTTTTAAAAATAGCATCAAAGAATACATTAAGAAAAGAATCTCCCAGGGCTTGGGATTTTTTTTAAAAGTCTTTGGAAGCACATGATGGATAAAGTGATTCTTCCATTTTTCAGCAACTAATGCTGTTTCCACCACCTTCAGACACTCTCACTCCTGCTACCGAATTCTAATGAAATGCACATGCTGAGAGAGGTGTCTGGTGCTGTGCTGGCCATGGTGACAGCCCCAAAAGAAGGTCAGAGCATGAATCAGTGGGGCAACCATGAGGCGCAAACAAAAAAGGCTCCTGTTTTCACAGACGACAGAATAAACAATGATCAGAAGGAAAGCGGAGGATGTGACACGAAAAAAAAAATGTGGTTAAAGTTTGAAAAATACCAGCCTAGGCACACAAGTTCACTTCTAAGATCCAGAGTCAAGGCAAATACCTCGCAGATGCCTTTAGAATGACAGGGTGAGCAGCAGTCTGCAGTTGCTGTCTGGGTTAGATTCTTTTCAACAGAGGCGGGGAAAATTTTAGTAGCAATTTCCTACTCTCGTTAACTTATCCTGTAAAGAGCAGTTTCTGACCATTCAAGCTCACATGATTCCCAGCTAATTTGAATGGGAGGAGGATCAAGTGGCAAGTCTGGTGGTATTCAGAGATTTGCCATGTCACTGAACAAACCTCTGCATGTGAATTTGGGTTCAGATGGTGACTCAGGGTTTGGCTGGCCAGCCTTCAGGGTGGGATTAATTTTTTACTTATCTGAAACAGCCTACCTGGTCTATCCTAATTCTTTGAGCTGCCCCAACAACCATAAAAAAGAGATCAGTACCTCCAGGGGATAATCCTTTGTAGCCCAGAGGGGTAACCAAAAAGGGATAGGAATCATTAGGTACCTGTGACTCACATGTAAAGAAAGTCTGGAAGCAAGAGGGGAGAGGTGAAGACCATATTAGGCAAAAAATACACCCTTCAAACCTAAAATAGGTTAGTGATTTCAGACTCTTAATCTAAAACCACCCACAGGTAAACAAGCCTGGCTGGGACAGAGATTGGCTCTGTGTGTGTTACTCAGAGGTACCAACTCCAGAGAACAGAATTAAATTCTGGTACTGGGCAGAGGAAATAAACTGATCATGGAAAGTTTCTTCCTAAATGCTTCCTGTTTATGTTTACATCCCTCTGCTACTCTGTAGCCTCTGTGTATTGTTACCCTGCACAGTTAGTGAATTTTGTGTCATCTTTGATGATGCAATGATCCATGGCAGTGTATTCCCCTGTGCCTGGAGTATCTCAGAGCCACTAAAGCTTCCTCACCTCCTGACAAGCCCTTGAGCAAGGCATCCTGTCTGTCTCCTCCTTGATTCCTCTCTTCTTGCTACCTGCAACCCAAACAGCAAAGCAAAATTAGCTGCAAAGTGCTTAATTAAAAAAAAAAAAATCTGGAAGCCTGACTAAAGCACTGAGGCAGAAATCCCATGAAATTGTGTAAGCTTTGCTCTCAGACACTGCCAGCAGTGGCAGTTTATTCCTAGAAAGAGAAATTTCAGCATGAAGTGTCATCTGAACACCAGCTACTGCTCTATCAATTAAAATCTCCCTTTTAACCTTGATCTAAGAAAACAAAACTTATGTCTAGACATGCCCTAAGTGTGAGGGGTGGGGGAAAGGAGGGGAGATCTCTCCTGGTTAATATTTATTAACCTTTCAGACAGTTTCAATAAAATTTGAGGGGGTGTCCAAAGTGCCTCAGTGGCATGAGATGAGGCAACTGTTTAGAGAAGGAGGATCCTGTAAAAATCCCCAGAGCAACAAAAATGGCAGGATGAGTTAATTCCTTATTAGTCATCAGGGAATCTGCAGGAAGAAGACCTGCAAAGGTGATTTCACAGGCAGGGGAGCTGCTTTATCCTACTGCCTGGCAATCCCAGGAATGCTATTTACCATTTTGTCACTAGATGGTATTGTTCCACAGGCTATATCCCAGCCTCGAAGGTCAAACAGCATGGTATAGCACAGGCTGGGTTGATTAAAGGCACAGAAAAGGCTTTTTTCTCATGTATTTTAATGTATCTTTTCCCACATGGAAGTTATTAGCAAAAGTCAAACTGGAACAGCTAAAGGAAAAGAGCTTTGTTGAACATGGAGATAATGTAACTCAGTTTTGATGATCTGTGCATTTCCTCCATATCTCAAAAAAACTGCTGAGATAAAGAGGTACAAAGATACTGATACAAAATCAAATGTTTCTGTTAACAAACCAAGCATAATCAACCAGCCCTTTGTTACAGTTCAGTCTGACCCGACACAAACAGCCTGACAAACTTTGCTCATCCAAAACTTAAACCACAGAATTATGGGATGGGTTGGATGGGAAGGGACCTTAAAACCAATCCAGTGCCACCCCTGCCATGGCAGGGACACCTCCCACTGTCCCAGGCTGCTCCAGCCCCAATGTCCAGCCTGGCCTTGGGCACTGCCAGGGATCCAGGGGCAGCCACAGCTGCTCTGGGCACCCTGTGCCAGGGCCTGCCCACCCTGCCAGGGAACAATTTTTTTCTCTACTATCTCAAATAACCTACTGTTATTAACTGCACTGAAAGACCTAACCCAGGACATTGTGTGGAACACATTATGCTGGGATATAATCAGGAGCAGAAGCTCCTTCAGTTTTGAAACTGGGCATTTACCTTTCTCTTCAAGGCATAAAGAAGATGCTTCTGTTTTTCTACCTGGGTGGGTGTCACTTATGTCCCCTTCGTGCTCATTTGAATCTGCTCTGACAGGGCAAGGGTGATTCTGTAAAACAAATGATGTTTTGTCTTAATAATATAACCTAAAAAATACAGCCAGGTGCTAAATCCATAAGGAAATGTTTATTTTAAGGAGGTTTTTCCTAGATAAATTTTATTCTTCTGGTGAGAATCAGATAGAGCTATTTCTGTACCTCTGTGCTCTCCTCCTCCTCCTCATCTTCCTCACAGTCCAGCCCTTGGTGCGAGATCTCAGTAGGGCCATTCTTCTGGATCAGGTTGCTGTCAGCCTTCTTCACCCTCTTCTTCTCAGTTGTCACTCTGATTTTCATGAGGTGGAAATCAGTGGAGACTGAGCCCACTTTCAGGTTGATGGGATCCCCAGCAAACAAGAGGTCCCCAGGGCTGCCATCTTCCTTGAAGCCAGGGGGCTGGTAATCCTTGGGAGTGACTGCACAGGGAGAGGGAACCCCATGAGGTCAGGGACACTGAGTTCCATCTCTCCTCAGTCTGATTTAGAAAGAGCAGTTATGAACCAGCTTCGAGTACCATCAACTACTAAAAATATTCCAGGTTTTTTGGGTCTTTTTAGGAGGAATGGACAGAATATAAAGAATAAAATGCGCTGAGCAAATGTTATCAGGGAGCTCAAAGAAAAAATTACTTTAGGATGCTGAGATACCATTAAAGTGCTGGAGCAAAACCTGACATTGCTTGTTCCTTAAGGAAACAAACTCAAAAAACCCCAAAACCCCAAAAAAACCAAAACTAAAAACTCAAAACAACCAGGGAAGAAGGATTTTTCCCTTTTCACACCACATAGCTGTACTTCTTATATGGATTTCAAACCTCTCCTAAAAACATCTGCCACCCCTGTGCATCACAAAGATTTACTGTGTTACACCATTTTTCAGTGCTGTCAGCCAACAGCTTCTCCCATCTCACCTTTTCTATGCTTTATTTCTAAGGGCTCACACTTATACTGATGGAACTCCCACAGGGCACACCCTGCTCTCCACCTACCATGGTTGTAGTAGAGGAGCTTCATGCTCAGGGTGATGTCATTGGGCAGTGGCCCCAGGTCCTGCATGAGCAGGTACAGGGTCCTGAGCAGGAGCCTGCTGGCATGTTTGACATCCTTGCTGCACAGCCCGGCCACAAACTCCCTGTGGTTGCTGCCATGGAAGAAGAAGAATGGATTTGTTGTCCTCAGTCATGAATATTCACCACCCAATTACACACACAGAGCACCCAGTGACTTGTCTGAAACCACCAGTGACCAAGCTACAATGTCTTTATGTGATTTCCAGATAAACAGGGAAGTGAAGCAGGCTCCAGGGATGGGGTGGCATCTGCAGAACACCCGCTCCAAACTCAGAGGCCTGGCATTTCCACTTGAACAGACTTCGGAGCTGGGGCAGCCATTATACAAATGCCATGACTCACTTGTTTGAACGTGATTAAATTGGATCAAAGGACCATAAAACAAGTGCCTTTCACCTAAGCAATTTCAGGAATGAGAGGAATGAGTTGAGGATCCCATCTAAAGCTGATTCATCACAGGGGGCTATTTTCAAGTCCATTCTGCAGTTTTTGAAGAGAAGTGAATTGCATGTTCTCACTCAATTCCGTGTAAGAAAAAGCAGCTCAGAGGCACATTTTTCAGCAGTGACAAAGGGGCATTCCTCTCACCTCCTTCACCCATCCAAATGTCAGCTGGCTGCTCCAAGCCAGCAGTCCAGACAGAGACCCATGGGTGACATGAGTGGGATGAATGGCACTCCAGAGGAGTTTGTTTCTCTTTGATTAAAACTGAGGTAGATGAGATGAGCAACTCAGAGCAGCCAGCCAACTTCAGATGAATCACTGTGTGACTAAGGGACCTGAACTTCCTAACTTTCAATGAGAAGGGGTCATAGAGATGTGTAGCTCCTTCATTACGTCTTTGGAAGACCCCTGACACCATGTGTAGGCTGGAGGGTGCCCAACACAATCACCCCAAATTGCATCAAAAGCAGTAAAAAAGTAACCCAAGAATATCCCAGAGCAAAGCTGACTGACTGACCCTCAAAAAGGAACAAATTAAGATCAATTCCCCCTCCCAGCTGAACTTTTTTGGGTCATGAAAATGGGGTGCCTGTGGAACAGCTTGACTCCCCAAGGTATGGAATCACAGCATCATTTAGGTTGGAAAAGACCTCTAAGATCATGAAATCCAAACTCTGTGGTATTAGATGTGCACTGTGGTCCTTGATTAAATCCTGCATGTTCAGAAATGTACAGTGAGAGGAAAATGCAGGCAGTGCCTAAGGTGGAATATCCATCACCATTACAAACTGTGGTATTAGCAGATCAGAAATGGCAAAAGGAAAGTTCATAAGAAAAAAATAAATGAGATGTCCATAGGAATTAACAGCATTAACAGGTCAAGCACTGCTTCAATATGGGAATAACACTGAGAATTTGATGCAGGAGGGAGTAAAAAAGCAGCAGACAAGGAACAGAACCTTGGAAGGAGTGGGATTTGTGGCAAGGAAGTCCCCCAAAATCCATTTAGAATAAGGCAAGGACCATTTAGGAGAAAGTTTCTCCTTACCCCTTGGATGTGGTGCTGCAGCCTCACAAAACCTCTCTCCCAGAGTGATTAACTCCGAGTTTGCACAGCACAGCTGCTGCAGGTGTAAAAGGCAGCATTATCAGCTGAAGGAGCTGATAGCAAAGATGACACAATTCCCTGTCTGTGCCAGAACTCTGGGTTATTAGAGACTGCAGGGACACGCATGAGCCTGCCACAGCACTGCCAATCCCCACGGAACAGAGCCCAGGAATCCAGTGCCACAGGCTCTGGAGCCTCAGAGCACATTCAAGCAAGACAGGAAGATGGCTTGGCCTCTCCCTGGATGACACAAAGGACACCCAAGCTCCATGTGGGGACTGTGCTTATTTCTAGGAATTAATGAGTAAGGCTGATTAAAACCCCAAAGTATTCAAGGACTATCTATTATCCTTCAAATCCCAGACCTCCTCTTCCCCTCAGTGTGAGGACACTGGACAGCAGAAATGGAGGGCACAGCCAAAAAGTCATTCCAGAGATAATTCAGATTTGCCCAAAAGAAAATAATTTTGCCTTATGGTTAAAGATTATTTGGATGTGTTTAGAGAAAGAGCAGCTAAGAGCACACTCCAGGAGTGCTGGGGAGGAGCTCCCTGAGGAGCACACAAGACAGCAGAGCTCTCTTGCTGTCCAGGCAGGTTCCAAGATCCATCTTTCACCAGTGCCAGCTGCAGAACAAAGTAAAAACAGGTTAATTAATTTTCTTTGCTTTGGTTATAGCAAATGGCCTTTGATAGCATTTATTTGAAGCTCCACAGGATTATGGCCTACTAAACACAGCTTTAAATACTTAACAGAGAGTGCCAAAAAGAGGCAAAAAGCTGCTACTTCCTGCCACATATTCTGCACCATCAGCTCAGGCCTCCTAAGTGAAAGTTCTCTCAGGTCACCCATGCAGGGCTGCTCAAGCAGAACACACGTATGCAAATGCTCAAGGGGAAAAATCCAGGGCACAGGACCATGGTGAAAGGGCTCAGACTGAGCAAGTTTCATCTGAAAGCACGAGGCTGCCTGGTGGAAGTGCAAGAACACTTGTTGTTAGCTGAGACAGCAGCAAGCTCAACAGCTGGGCTGGTTTCTGCATGGCCTCCCTGATGAGGCACCACTTCTGTCAAATGTCCGTGGCTCAGGTGTGCTCTGAGGGTTCCTGGTGCTATCAAAGAGCATTTCAGCTCATCCTCCCAGCAGTTCATACCCTGCAAGGTGAATGTCCTCAACTCTGATGGTATTTACAGCTGCTTAATGGCTTGGACCTGCTCAAACCACAAAATCACAGGATGGTTTGGGTTGGAATGACTTTAAAGCTCATGTTGCTCCCCACCCTGCCATCTGCACAGACACCCTCCACTAAACCATGCTCCTCCATCCAACCTTGCTTTGGACACTTTCAGGGATGGGGAGTCCACAACTTCTCTGGGCAATCATGAAGTGCAGCTTCTTAATGCTTCAATACACAGTGTTTAGTGTAACCCTGAGAAATGAACCCAAATCCTTACCTGCTGATGTCCATCTGGGGCACCTTGTTTTTGTACTTGAATTTGAATTGATACATTTCAGTGACTGTCTAGAGATGTAACAAGGGAGAGAAGCAGAAATGGATCACTTTGAGAAACAAGATGTGTCCTGAGCTTGGAGAGTCCTTTCACACTCTCTGCCAGAGCACAGAATTAATCTAGTGACATGCTGATAATTTTAACTCTATTATTGCTGGCACAAGCTTTGGTAAATTCTCTTAACAGCTACATCTTACCTAGCACTGAAAAAATCACAACAAAATTACAAACTTCCTGCCTCCTCCTTCCACTTCCTCTCTGGGCCTGGCTCTCCTCCTTCAGTCTCCAGCAAGGCTCCAGGGCTGGCCAATCCCCCAGTATCCCTTGCTAAAGGAAAACTGGGAGGCTGCACAGGTGACCAGTGCCACAGGGAAGCCTGGCCCTGTGCTCTGAATGGGGACAAGGGCCTGGAGGACTCTTCCCACATGGAAATCCAAACAATATTGCATGGGAAACAGCTGAACTTCACTGGTCTCGGGCTCTTTTTGAGGTAGACAAAAATAGTGGGTGATTTTCCATTTAAAAGAATTAAAGAATAAAACAATTAGGAAGAACAGACAGCTTCCCCCCTAGAGAAAGGGTCTATTGTACACCAATTCCATGCCTATAATTCACTTTTTCCGGAGACAATGAGGTCGATTAGCAGGAGCTCAGCTGAGGTCTTAACGCGGAGCTTTCCTTGCAAATGCAGCCTTGGCATGGCTCTGCTCCTGCTCTGTCCCCAGACTCTGAGGTGCCACACAGCAGAACAGGAACCAGGTTCAGATGCAAAGGCTCTGAAGCTGTTCCCTGATCCCCAGTGTGGATGCAGACCCTCACTCCTGGACCACACCCCCAGGTGAAACCAAACAGAAACACAACAGGGAACACTGAGAGGCTGAGGACAGGCACTACCCAACACCCATCCAGGTCTGAAGGGATTCCTGCCTTCTGTCCTACACCTCTCTGCATGACAAACCAGCTCTTTTCACCAGGGCTGTTAAAAAGGTGGTTTGCAAATGAGGAATGTTGAATTTCCCATTTTTTTCTCTTTGGGAAAAGAAAACAAAACGGTGACCGTGCCCATTAGTTGCCTGCTAACATCCCTGCCTGAGGCCCTGGTGGGCCCTCAGCCGGGTGTTTGATCACAGTGCAGCTCACTGAGCTGGCACTCCCGAGTGAGGCACAGGGACAGAAATGGGGTCACCAAGGAGCTCTGTCAGGGTAGGACTTAAGCCTCCACTCCACTCTGAATACAAATGTACTCACCCATGTCTTCAGCTGCCTCAAAGATTAATTAAGACTCTTTCTTACCTCGGGGTTGGTGTAAATCTGTTACAAGAAAGCACAGTGAGGACATTCTCCCTGGGACGACTTGAACCAGTGACTAACAAGGATTTTTCAGTTTACAGCAGAGACTGTGCTATCTTTAGTGTGGGATCAGAGAAAGGAATGGCTGAGAAAGAGCCTTCCTCTATCTGCAGTCAATACCACTTCACAGACAGGTGAGGACACTCATGTGTGCAATACTGGAGGAATGAGGTTCATTCCCATTGCAGCCCTCACAGGCAGCTATTGATGCCTGGGATTTCACTGCTCAGAGGATGCACAGGGTGGATGGTGAGCAAAGCTCCTGGTGCTTTGCAGGGGGCTGGGGCCAACAGTGAGAACCACCAGTGTGTGGTTTCTCCAGGATCAGATTGATAAGGAGGACCCCTCTGCCATGTGCTCTCCATTTTGGAGAAATGGAAAAACGGAAAATGGAAATGGAAATGGAGAAGCACATGGCAGCTTCCATGATAGGAATCCCTCTCAGAGTTTAAGGAGACAAATAAGGCACAGTCAGAAGTCTGACATGCTGAGAAAAACATTTCCATGCAGCCTTGAACTCTACATTTACTGTATCTAAGAAAGGTCACAGCTCTATTAAAAATCACACACATTTTGGCTTCTTCTTAAAAAAGGCACAAATGGGTTGACACAACCTTGACTCTGTATCTCTTTCAAGCAGGGGAGGGGAGAGAAAACCACTTTGTATTCATTTACTTACTGCAAGGACAGCCACGTGTAGCTGAGGAGAGAAAACCAAAACAAAACACAGAATCAACATCTAACCTTAGCGGGCAAGGAAAAGCAAGTCCTATCAAACCCCGACTGCCTACACAGGGAGAAGGAATAGATACACTCAACAAACCAGGAGTTAAAACCCTTTGTGCAGATTCTTCCCAGCACAGCATCAGCAACACCTAGTGGCCAGTTTGCCTGGCTTGACACAGTTTCCCAAAAAACAGCTCCGTGCTCAGTAATCCCCCCTGGGACTCCTTTCAAACAAATCCCCAAATACTGCTTTAAAACTCTTCACAAGAGCACCCATCTCTACTCAAGGTTAATATTTGCTTTCTGCTAGGAAATACCCAAAGGTATTTAATTTATGCTCTATCAAGGAATTGCACATGGGACTGCCCTTAAAAACAATCTTATAACATGCATTAAATCCCTCAGTTTTTCCTTAATCCTTGTCAAACAATTAATTTATGTCTCTCATGAATAACAAAGGGCTAAATACCTCCTAGAGCTGTCAGCAAGCACTAAACTGTGTTCACAACACTGTTAACTGTGCACACTGACAGCTGTACTGATGTCTGAGGAACACTCAGATCATCAGTGCCAGAACAACCAGTGCTCCACCTGGTCTGGAGGAGCTGGGCTGGTGAACAGTGCAGACACAGAGCACAGCAACTGTGCTTTTGCCTGTGCAGGGCAGTTTTTATGTGAAAATCAGCAAGGAATATAAGCACTTGCTAGTTGGTTTTGTCCTGGAAGCAGTTACATAGTTTATTTGGTGAATTAAGGGAAAAAAAGGGATAAATTCTGAGCCTGAGAGAAAAGCCAGGAGGGTTAGAGAACATGAGATGAAGGGGAAAGATTAGGGAAAGGGAGATGAAGGACAGCAGAAGCACAGAACCTCTCTCAAGAAAACAAAACCAGGAAGGAGATCCAGATCTCATCTCTGCCTGGCAGGATCTCTATCAGATGTAAGAGAACACAAATGTAGAGCACACAATTAAGGAAAATCCATTACAGGCTGCAAATTAGTTCCCACACCATGGAGAGCCAGGAGAGCCCAGAGAAAGTGGGCAGGATTTGAGCTCAAGGCATAAAATCCCAAATCTCATAGTCAGGGCAGGGTCTTTCCCCTGTCCCACAGCTGTAAAGGTTGTTGGGTGCATCAAAAATCCCAACATAAATACAGCAGGAATGGAAGGAAAGTTTTGTCCTTACTTTATGAAGAAATAGGACACTCTAATAAAAAGTGAAAAAACCACTTACATACTGCTTCTCCAAAGCATCAAAACAACCTTGAATCCTGCCAGGGAAAAAACCCAAAAACATGTTAATACTAACCAGCAATATTTATCTCCTGATCTGTAAACATACTCATTAGATGTGGGTTAAAGGGCATTTTTTTCTGGAATTAGGTCAACACAACCAACAACATTTGGGACTTGTGATGTCCTTTTCAGGTCAGTCCCAAAGGCAGCATTTTCCTTTCTGCATCTGTGTGCTGTTTACACTTCTGGGGCATTTTCCTGTCAGCCCAGAGCCTGCTTGAATCCTGACAAAGACAAGGATTGGAGGCCAAAGGCTGGCTCTGAGTGTGTCCCTGCTCAGCGCTCTGTTCCAGCTCCCCAGCCAGAGCTTTGATGGCTCTTTTCCCATCAGCCTTGTACAGAGCTCGGCTCAATCTGAACATGTCTGGTCTTGTAAATCTTTGTTATCTGATGCAGAGTTTACAGCAATGGATTTTCTCAAAGTAGTAAATATTATTTGAAGCATCGATGGCCAGATATTTACTCTTGGAGTCAAAGGATGTGCAGCAAGGTATCTCCCTAGCACATCAGGGACAGTTTTTCTGCTTGTTGGGAACGTGCCAACTGTGAAATACATCCTGAAGAAAACTGTGGGGTTCTTAGAGAGGGAGACAAAATATTGTACATACTGAAAAACAAGTGCAAGAATCCCTATCAAAGTGAAACTAGAAAAAATTCAACCCAACAGAAAGGATCTCATGACAGTCTTTACCCTCTCTCTGCACCTCTGCTGCCACATGTGCTCTGGGGCCTGACCATGACCTCACTGCAGCCAACACTTGCACAGCCCTTGAACTCACATGATCTCAGTCACTAATTCTGTCCTGCTTACACAGGGGCCAAGCACCCCCAGCTGCAGTGGGAGCTCCCCTGGCACCAGGGCACGATGTTTTCCAGTTCAGGAAGAAGAAGAATGCAGGGGCAGATGTCTCCTACTCAGCACAATCTTGTCTTGGTTTCGCTGTTACTCACTTACCATTTGACTATCTGCAATGATCCCAGACAGCTTTTATCTTCTCGCAGAATTTTTAGACAGAGGTCTGCAAAACCAGATTTAGCACAGAGTTACAATCCTTATCACAGTTCTTGGGCAAACACTGAAACTAAGCCAGTCCATCCTCCCTTTTTTGGATAAAAGCTTTATCTGAAGGTCCTTCCTGAGCGGAAATGTTGGGTTTCCACCAAGTCTCAGGTGGGCTGACACAAGATTATTGCTGGGTTTGCAAATGTCAGAGCTTTCCTCAGAAGCCCTGGGCTCTCCCAGAAGAAGGGATGGAGTTACAGCTTTATTACACCAGCAGCTTCATCCTCTCCTCCCTCCTCTTCTCCACTCCATCCTTGACCATTCCCTAACACCTTCCCTTCTGCATTCAGACTTCACCAACATCCATGTGAAGCGATGCCCCAAGGACTGTGCTCACAATAAACTTTCTGTGAAGCTTTTCCACACAGCTACCTGTGCTTCCAGGCACTCAGAATGGCAAAAGGCATTCTGTCCTGCAGGTGAAAAGGGGCATTAATAACACCTTAGGATTCAACCAAGGGGCCCTTGAAGATGTGAGCAGGCCAGATGTTAAATAACACCCCTCATCAAAGAGGCATAGACAGACCTGACATTTGACCAGTGGCTTTTCAGGGTTAGGGGATCAAGAACCAATTTGGGATTTCTGTGCCCTCAACCCAATCTACAAAGTACACGTGAACATGTTTCAGGGCAGCTAATGCCATAAGGGACAACACAGAAATGGACTGGAATGCAGGGGGACATTTCACACCTTGAATTACCATAAAGATGTTCATGAATCAAAGCATCACTAATTCCTGGAATCGTGTGGACAAAAGTTTGGTTCTCAAAGTTCTTTTTTATCCTTAAAATGTTCTGATTTCCCAAAGCACATATGAGATAGTTTTCATAGAAATAAACCCCAAATCCCAACAATGAAACAGTTTTACACTGAAGGAGGGATGATTTAGATTAGATCTAAGTCAGGTTTTTATAATGAGGGTGGTAAAACACTGGCACAGGTTGCCCACAGAGAAGGTGGGTGCTCCATTCCTGGAAATATTCAAGGTCAGGTTGGATGGGGCTTGGAACAACCTGTTCTATGGAAGGTGTCCCTGCCCATGGCAGAGGGTTGGACTTGATGGTCTTTAAAAGGTCCCATCCAACCCAAACCATCCCACAATTCTATGAAAATGAGCAAATCTAATTTCAGCCTCCCAATGAAAACTAAAAATGTGAACCTCATGGGTTCAAAGATCCAAAAGAAAATGCAACATTCCAATAAGAGTAAATTTTTAAAACTTTCTGTGTTTTAAGTCACTCTGCTGGCTCAGAAGCCTGATTCACGGGACTGGCAATGCCAAGAAATGACCCTAGAGGAACACCAACAGAGAAGCCAGAAGCTCAAGACTGTCTTCCACGCTCTCTGTCAGAAATTCTGTCTGCACCCAGACTGGAGAAGATTTGAGAATCTGCAGCCAAATCCCCACCCAAAGTGAAGTCACCCATGTGTGCAGCCAGAAGATAAGGCAGATCATAGATAAAAGGCAGTGAGTAGAAGGAAGCCCTCAGCACAACGTGCAGGTGTTACCATCCAGATAGCGAGTGCCGTAGGAGCTCTCAGGGAACAGCCCCCTCATGTAGGTAATGCAGGACACAGAGATGGCCAGCAGCCTTTTCACCAGCACCAGGGACTGCTGCTCTGTGCTGATGCTCTCAGGGAACAGCACTGCCTCCTGCAAAAGCAAGGCCAGAAATAGCACCTTCTTAAGTGCAACACAGATTATATTTAGAAACAAGTCTCAGCAGGTGGGAAGAGGGTAGCTTGGAAATATAACATGAAGTTTTAAGGTTTCTCTGGTGTTTAAGCTAGGCAGGGAAGACTCGTGTGTGTGAGGTGGGTGGATTAAATGATTTAAGGGCAGAGATCAATAGATCTGACATCATTACCCAGATGCAGAGTGCACTGGTTGGATGTACTCTCCCCTTTATCACATTCCCACCCCCTCCACTGCACCAATGCTGGCCCCTAACAGACAGCCACCCCTCAAAAAGGTGTGCAGTTTTAACTGGGGAGTCACACAAGCCCGAAGGTTGCTGTGCCAAAGGCTGCTGGTTTGAGCTCTGACAGCAGCCTGAGTTGCCAACAGAGTGATTTTAACTCCAAGCTGTAAAACAGCACCTGGAGCTACAGTAAATACACACTGCATGATGCCAACAGGAACAATGCAGGGGACACTGCACTAAATTTAGTTCTTCTGTTACTTTATTGCTGTTCTGCCTGCTAATAAAGCTCTGTGCACACCTAATGAGCCTACATTTATTGAGTCAAATCATGTCAGAGCCCCACTCTGCCTCTCACTGAATTGGAATGAATCCAACTAAAAGCAGTGCAGACAACACAAAGGTTTCCTGCCTCTGCAGGTCCCAAACTGAGAGCTAAGACTGTCTGCACCACCATATTTTCATTTTTTACCTTAGAGGGCTTCTTCTTTTGCTTGACTAGCTGCTGAGCAGCCATCCTGTGTTTCAAAGACCTGCCTTCCACTTGTGACTAAACCCTGAAAAATAAAGAAGGCATGAGACAGGTAGAGAGCACAGTTACTGCTATTTCTCGTCTATATTAAAGTAAGAATGAAATTCCTCAGAGTTTGAAGGCTAATTGCCAAAAAGGACAGGTAAAGCAAAGCAAACCAAGGGTACACCATGGCACTGAGCCTGCAGAGTGTGAAAACTCCTGCTCACTGGTAAACAATCAATAGTATTTGAAATTCAGGGCCACAAGTGCACCTGGTGTCAGTCGGTGCCACTTCAGAATGCATTTCTCATATTCCAAACCACAAATGTTAATTCCTACAACCATTAGAAAGTGTGAAGGGGAAATGTGAAAGAACTGGAGGTCTGCCAATAGCAGTTAATAACTTAGCAAGGGTAAGCAGGAAACGTGCTAACATCGGTCTTGGCCAGAATAAGGGAATGATTCTTCAGGGACACCTTGAAAGGTAAAAAAAAAAAGAAAGAAAAAAGGGAGAGTCCCAATTGTTTCAGTTAGACAAGCCTGGATTGAAGAGGAAAATACTCATTTTACCAGAATGGAGAGCTGATTGGTACAGGCAATAACACTGGATATCCCATGTTTCTCACTTGAGTGAGGTGCTTGATTTAGCACCATCTGACAATCCTGATTAAAAACTTCCATTAGCTGGAATTAACAAGCCCTGCGTTAACTGGTTTGAAAAATGACTTGCTGGGAGATCTCCACATCTCATTGTAAATGGGGGATGTTAATGAAAGGAAACACCACCGACGGGTCCCAGAGGGACGGTGCTGTGTCCGCAGCTACTCAACTTCCTCAGTAACAATTAAAGTAATAGCACAAACACGGTGGGGTGATTTAACTCCTGACCTAATGCAGCCTTTTATTAACTCAGCTGATCAAACCTTGTTCTGCATTTGCACCTTTTGTGCCTTCTCTTTTTTTCTCCTGTGGAAGGCTCGTTTCCATTTGTTGGCAGTCATTAAGACATGTTGATCGGAACACGGTGACAGCTTTTATGCTAAATTTAGCGCTTCATTTAGTAATGAGGACAGATTACAGCTATAAAAGTATATTTAAACAAATACACACCTGCAAAATTTTTAACGTGCTAAATATTTTAGCAAAGTAGCTTTTTTTTTTTTTTTTACCTAGGCACTGTGAGCAGGACTGGAATGCAATCAAAGCAGACGAAGGTGTTGTAATTACAACATGAGGTTATTAACTAAATAAAGGTGATTTAGGTGAGACAAAGATGTGAGAAAACATGTTTTATGAACCATACAATATTTATATTTATTTTCTGAGGAGGAAACATCACCCAGACCATGCTGACCCATTACAACCTAGCCGTTCAGGTACAAGATACAAGATTTTGGCATCAGTGTCTCACCAGGACTGGAAGGACAGAACTTGCCCTGGAACTCCAATGCTCCCCCACTCTGCAGTCACCTTATCACTGAATATCAGCAAATTAGTACTGAAAGGGAAAAAATAAATCGCATCCTTAGGAACACACTGCTCCCTGACACCCTCAGCCTTGCACCCCTCACTCTGCCCCTTGTGCCTGCTGTTGGAAAGGTGAGGAAACCACAGCCCTTAAAAAAAGCAGCCATGGCTCCGAAGATGGGCCTTACTCGTTTTTTTGAGAAGTTCTTGAGGGGTTTTATGAGCGGAAGCCCAGGCCCGGTCGGGGTGCACACGGGGCTGGGTCCTGCCCCTCACACAGCAGCACCGTGAGGAAGCCCTGAGACCCGAGGGGCGGCGGGGCTGAGGCGCGGGAGCCGCGAGGCGCTGAGGGAGCGCTGAGGGAGAGCTGAGGGAGCGGGGAAAGCCCCAGAGGCAGAGAGGGGCTCCCGAGGGGAGCGGGAGCGGCTCCCTAAGGTGTTTGGGGTCCCTAAAGTGTTTGGGGTCCCTGAGGTGCTTGCGGTCCCCCTGAGGTGCGCGGAGCTCCCTGAGGCGCTGGGAAGCGCTGTGAGGCGCGGGCGGACCTCAGGCACTGAGAGGTCCCTCAGGAGCTCCGGCCCCCGTGAGGCGCCCCGTCAGGAGCTCCCTGAGGAGCCCCTGAAGGACAATGGGGGAATCCTCCTGGGGCACGGGAGCCCGTACCCTGCTGAGGGCTGCCCTAAAGCGCAGCCTTGTCCCGCCCCAGTCTGGCTGGGCGGTTCCCCTACCTGTACCGCCCTCCGCGGGTTCCTTCAGCCACGGCGCCGCCGGAGCCCCGGGCGTGGGCGGTGCTGAGGGCGGGAGGCGGCGGGGGCGGCCCAAGCCTTGAGGCGGAGGCTTGACCCGACCCTGCTCTGCACCTGCCTCTGTTCGCGGCTTGTCATATGTCCCTGTTCGCATGGCTATGCCTGCCCTTACTCTGCCCCTCTGTCCGTCCCTATCTCCGTCCCTATCCCTGCCCATGTCTCTGTCTTTGTCCTTGCTTCTATATCTGCTCCTGTCCCGGGAATTCGGGCACAGCCTGCAAAAGCACAGCCATGGCAGGGGCAGTAGTGTGGTATCTTACCTGTTTAAAATCACTTTAGAGTAAAATACTGGGTTTATTAGCAGCATATAACCCCAAAGGAGGTGCAGTTTGAAGTTGCTCAAATCCACATTCTTAGAAAACTCTGGTATTTTTCTAGGGAAAGGGAGACTTGGTATCATCCCAACTCAAAGGCATCGGGAACTTCACAAAGAGCAGAGTGTTTTGGAGCCAGGGTCAAATCTAGGCAAGGAAGATGGGTTCTGCTTCACTTGTATCTTATTTGCAGAATAATCTGCCTAAACCGATTCTTCCCATCTCCAGGCAATTTGTTATCCTTCAGAAAAGGAAACCTTTTTTTTTTCCTTTTCATTTCTACTCCAAGCAATTCAGGGGGATGCTCGTGAGAGCACACTCCTCCCTTCCCAGGTCCCCCAGCTCTGGAAATTCCAGTCTGTCCAGTTATGATGGTTTCCCCAGCTGACAGGACAGCAAACACCCTTGTGTTTTTCCAGACCGTTTTCTGATCTCTTTCCCAAGACCTTTTCAGCTGTTAACCTCAGTTAGCAGTTGAAACAGTTGAAACAGCTGTTAACAACAGTTAACAGTTAACAACAGCTGCTGGAAAGCTCCTCCCTGAGGGAGGAGAGAAGACCTCATTGATTTTACAAGAATAATTTCACAACACACAAACAAACCAGGACTGTGCTGCTGCCGGGCGACGAAAGGGTGTCTGCAAACGAGAGCTGTGTGCGTGACCCCCAGGGCTGTGCTGGATCATGTTTGCCTGTCGTTTGCCCTGGTGGAGATCCAGTGTCACCTGCAAGTCGTGGCAATCAGGTCACTTTGTGCCTTGGGGCAGCTGCCAAATGCTGACTATTAAAGGAGTCAACACGACTGTGGGGCAGGAGCAACAGGCCGGCATGAAGGAAAAACAAATGTTAGAAGATTCGGAAATGCACCTCGCAAGGAGAGACACAGAGGCTCTCTTCCAAGAGCAGCCTCAGACTGGGAACCAGTACCTGGAAGACACTTTGCTTCAGGGTTACTTGAAAACACACCTTCCTCTCAAGGTCAGTTTGTGTTCCTGTGTGTACCCTGCTGAGCCCCTGCCTCAGACTCTGAATTGAACATTTGTCTGAGCCTTTTTGTGCCTTTGAGTGTTTAACTGCAGGGAATTTATCGGCATTCCTTAAAACCTGTTGTGTTTGAGGGCAGGGGTGACAAACACTGCCAGGACACACACAGCAATGGCTCAGTGGGCTCCTGCGACTGGGCTGGGTGTTGCAGTGCTCTTTTGGGACTGTCAGTGTGGGCATTTGCTGTCTGGTCATGTAGAGGAAGGAATTTCTGAGAGAGGAATCAGACTAAGATGCTTGCAAACTCTGATTTGTTCTTCCACCTCTCTTTCTGGGAAAAGAGGGATTTTAAAGAAAATTCCTAAGGACTGGGCTGTTGTCAGCCAAGTACTCAAGAAGGTGGAAAGGCCTCTCGGGGCTTGCTTGCTCCCAGCACAGGTTGGTGGCATTTCTGGGTTCATTTTTTCAGCCAGGAAAGGCTCTGTATGGATGTCAGGGGTGCAGATGGGGGTGTGAGGCCCCAGGCTCTGGATGTCTGTGCTGTGAGCTCCAGTCCTACAAGAACCCCTGGGAGGAGATGCCTCACCTCTCTGGCTGGCCTCTGCCATCACCCCAAGGGCCACCAAGTGCTTCCCACTTTTCATGGAGCAGAGTGTGACCTCTCTCCATGCTTTATTCCAGCAGAAGCAATGCCATGACTCCTAAAGTCACCAGATGATCAGAGGGGAGGGGACTTGGCTTTCAGTGAGGCTCCCACTTCCCCTGCTTGCTCTCCAGGTCTGTGAGGCCTGGCAGTCACAGAGTGGGAAGAGTGAGGTGGCAGAGCTGGGGGCTTGTCACAGCCATCCCAAAAGAGAGGAGTGAGGCCTCCCTAAGCACCACCGCGGCCTTCTTGGCAAAAAAGACAGGAATGGACAATGCCTTTGGGGAACCATGAAGGTCCTGCTCCTAATCTGCACCTTTGGAAGAAGCATGATTCAGGTCTCCCAGAGAATAAAAGGGTCAGAACAACCAGGCTGCTAACACTCCTTCCTCCAAAACCTCCCAGAGAACCGGGAGCAGATTTTCCTTTCGTTTCTCCACTCAGTCCCAGCGGGGCAGTGTTGCCTCACTGCAGGAAAGGAGAGCCCTGCAGCCCTGAGCTTGCTCTCCATGGGAACACTTTTCTCCCCAGGACAGCAGCAACCCCTGAAGCTTTGGGTGTCCCACCGAACTCCTGTTGTGCTATTCCATGGCAAACACAGAAATTTTCTTGAAATGGCACAAAAATTTTCTTTCTCCGCTTGAAGGTGATTTAAGGAGAAGACTGAATTAAGCATCTGCTTTTTCTGGGCGTTGTTGTGAAGAGGGATCTGTCAGGCTTTGCTGCCCTGAAAATACATCCTTTAATAGAAAGGATATCTATTGGCACTCCTAATGTGCATTAATTTGCACAT